ACTTTTTGTGTTAACTACTGTCTTCATTAGATTTTGAGAAAGAAAACAGCCTTATAAAGTGAGTTTGCTTAACCATTTTTTAAAAATTTTATTAAATAGTCGTTGTATAATTCTGGTTAAATCCAGTTACTATTATTTAACAGTGATATAGATTTACAGTATTAGTATTAATATTTTAGAGATCTTACAAAATCTATAGAGACCACTTGTCTAGCGAATGATTGTTATCTTAAAAAAACCACCCACTGATGGTGAACCTGTATTTATTTATTTATATTATTAAAAGACTATAAAATAGTAAAAAATATTTGAAATGATACAAAATTTCATTAAACTTAGCAATAGGAACTCAACAAGTGTTGTTGTATTACATGATGTTATCTTAAGTTACCAGGTATAAACTTGAAAAATTGATTTAAAAAAGACAAAACAATAACAAAAAAGTTATAAGAAATTAAAAAACAAACAATAAGAAAAAAATTTTAAGCATCTATTTCTTCTTTCAAAATACCAGCAGAAATTGGCAGTAAAATTATCCAAACTATCTTGCCTGTATACATAAATATATCTGTCCGTTTCTTTTTGAGACGAGTGCTTAAATTGCATGCCAAAACTCACTTATTCATTGCCAAGTACCAACATGGTCATTAATTCAAGCTCAATATTGACATTTTAGTTAAAAAAGGAAAGCCAACACATACATTAACACCTTTTGTTCTAATCGCAAAACAAATAACACTTGTGCTATGGTTTCACTATCACTGCCACTAACCATAAAGCTTACTTAGTTGTCCTGTCAATTGCTAAACTCTTCTCAGTAACTTAAGTGTAACTATTCTTCCATTTATAGTTTTATTTCTCTAAAAATTTTCAATCAGGTTGAAGGAAAAGATTCTAACAAGTTGTACAGACAAGCTTTTTCCTTTAACTACAAGACAAATTTGTCTTGTTCTGTAGATTTCATTCTAAGTCAAAGAAGTTCTAGCATAGTAACAAATTTACCTTAGAAATAGGAGAGTCTGAGGCAGCATCAGCTCATTTTGAGCCCTGCCAGTTGTGTTTTAGTGATAGGGGGACACCTAAACATGCCTAAATTGCCCCATCCTTCACTCCTCCCCCTGACTTTTAAAAACTTCACAAACATGAAAGGGATAAGGGAAGACACAGGAGTAACTAAAGGAAGTAGAGTCCAACCATATGCCTATATGTAGCCTTAAGTCTCAGTGCCCAAGCTGTGACATTACTTCCATGATAGCCCGCCAAATATCACACACTTGGGCCCAGCATTCCAGCATGGATGCCATGATAATTCCCTTTGCTGTTGAACTGGACCTGGCCTATGACTTGCCTTGGCCATCAGAAAGAAGGGGAAGTTAAGGAGGGCCAGATACCTGCCTGGACTTAAGGACCCAACATATCTCTGTTTTCCCTCTAGTTGGTTTGCTGGATGATGAGAAAGAATATAGAAGAGAGCACCATTACCTTAGTTGAGATTTTGTTAGATCAGCAAGGAGCCAGCTGACCTCCTCTCCATGCAAGGAAACCCAGTTAAGGCCAGGAGAGCCACACATCTAGCATGCATAATATAAGCAATTACAAATGCTTATTGCTTGAACTCACAGAGATTTGGGACTCTTTGTTACACAGAAATATTGTAAGTAATACATATGGTATGAGCACAATGAATTTTAAGCTGAAAAGACTTTAAAATAAGGCAATACATTACCTTTTATTTGTATTGGAGAGAGCACTAGACTACAAGTATAAAAATTTGGGTCGTAGGTCCTATCCTGCTTATTCTTTGGACACACAGTATTGGAGATGATATAATTTCATATCTTTGGAGTACATTACAAAACAAGATACATCCTGAGGGGATTTGACTGACCTTGTCAGATACAAAAGTTACATTTCTTGTTACATAGATCTTGCTTTATCTTGGTCTTAACCATCCAGCAGAAAAATATAAAAACGAGGTATAGAAACTAAAGTCATATTAATTTGCTGAGCTGTAAAAGGTTCAAGTTAACAACTTCTGATAATGCTAGTCCTATGGATAACCCATTACTATTATGGACCACTGGGCTATATTGGATTATTTTGCTGAATTCGCTCACCTACAATATTTAAATGGCAATGGAATACCCATCTCTAACAAAACTAAACAAAAAAGGGGATACAAAGGAAAGACTATTTTGTATCTGTATATACAAAACAGTTAGGATAGATATACAACCACTTTTAATTCAGTGAGAAACAAGATTTATACTAATAGTGTTTGGACTGGGTATCATGTCTGCATCTTGTACTATGAATAACCACTAAGAAGATAACAATGTGCAATGTATTAATTATTGAAACTGTCCTACTAATTGTCTTTGAAACTGTCTCATTGCTATTTGTTTCTCAATAAAATTAATAAAAAAGATACAAACCATTTGTGCTGAATTATTAATAATTATGTATTTACAAGGATGGCATGAATTTCCTTGCAATGTCTGTACTTAAGAGGGTGTAGTACAATTCTCAATTACAAAGGACTAGTATGTCACTGCACATCCTTTTCATACTATGGCATATTTAGATAGAAAAACATTTTAAACATAGTGAAACATGAAGCAGCTACATGCAAGAGGCATTTGAAATATGAAGAAATATGCAGATGGGGTACACAGGGGCTAGGGACTCTTTTTTCTTTTACAGGCATAGACATCTATTAAGATTCCTGTCATCAGGGTTGCAGCAGTTATTAGGCAAAACAGTTTTGTAGCATGAACAAAGGTCCACATTCCCACTATCTCAACTTCTCATTGATCTGACACTAGCATCATGAAGAAAAACAGTTACAATAACTGGAATGTGCAGCCAAAGCTGTGCTGCAAAACAAAGCATAGAAATACAATGAACAGGCAGTCTGGAAGGTATTCTTGTGTCCTACACAAGCCTTCACATTAGAAGTGACTTTGCATTTGATTTGAGAGAAAGTTGACATAGAATCATGTGTGCGAGGACAAAGAGGATGCAGTCAGAATCAGTCTTAGACACATCTGGGGCAGCACAACAGAGAGAGAAAACATGGACATTGGAATTACACTGTCTTGCGGTCAAATCCCAGCTCACACCATTCTGAGTCCTAGTGTCACCAGGCGCAAAATGATGCTGCTTCAGAAAGTCAATCTGAATTTTACTGTAAGTTACTTAGTAAGTGAATTCAATGTCTCCCACACCATAGCTGATGAGGGGGCACGTTTTTATTTTCAGACGACAGTGTTAAGAAGACACACGTGTTCCAAGAGAGAAATTTTCTTTTGTTTTCTACTTAACTCACCTCCATTCTTCAGGACTGAATGAAACATAATACAGATTCAGTAAATATGGCATTAAAGTATCTTGAATACTATTTTTAAAATCTTTGTGATGTTTACAGTGAAATGATTGAAATGCAATAAAATAATTTGCTATTGATTTTATAATCTTATTGGTTTTAATTGGCCATTTTGCATATGGCTTGAAAATGAAAAAGAGATTTCACTAAATCTACCTTCCTACTGTTCAAGTTCCATAAAATATATATTTGCTAACTTGAAGTTTGAAAGGTAATTAAATTTATAGAGGCAAAAAGAACTCTTCAAGAATATCTTATAGAGAATAGGTCAATCTATTTAAACTGGTGCTACTTAGAATCACTGTCCAGGACCGACAGAGAAGTAGGCAGTCTCTTTCCCTGGCCACCTTCCAATCTCCATATTCAAATATCATCTCTATTCTTGTCTGAGCTGAATTCGTGAACTTTACAAGAATTTGTGATATGAAACACTCTATGAAGATGGCAGATGTCCAACCTCTCTGTGGGGAAGTGTCTGGGGCTTGCGTTTCTGTCCTCTGCTCTGATGATTGTGAAAAAGAGATCAATGGAAAGATGAAAACTCTGTCAGAGGAAAGAGAATGACTGAGTTGTAGGGATGATCTAAAAGAATGTGGAATCCAGGGACTGATGGACTGCAGCCAACAGTAGCGAGGAGTCACGCTGGACAGGGCCACCTGGAAGGCTCTTACTGAAAGCAAAGACTACAGAGAAGAGGAGGAAGAACTGAGGGAAGAACTTGCGATTTCCCTCCTTTTCATCAAAACTCACCACCCAATGCTATTATGGGCTACTGGACTCTTTTAGAATATTTTGCTGAGTTTACACACCTATAATATTCAATAACGGAACTTAGAAAAAATGGGGTATACCGATGAATGTCCATTTTCTATCTGTGTATTCAAAGTGGTTAGGATAGGTATATAGTTGCATTCTCTTAATGAATAGAATGATTTGTTCTAATGGTGTTTGTAAATAGGATCTCAAGTCTGCATCTTGTACAGCAATTAACCACTAAGAAGAATATATGCAGTGTGTTATTTGTTGAAACTATACTTCCGATTTGATTTGAAACTGTCTCATTGCTATCTGTTTATCAATAAAATTTTGAAAAAAAAAACTCACCAAGTGAGAAAGGTAGAAATGATTCTCTTTTCTTAAACTGTCCATTCTCCAGAAAATGCTCTGGGTTGAATGTTTCTGGAGTGGCCCACTCTGTGGGGTCCCTGTGCAGTGCTGTCAAGTTGGTCAGAATCGCAGTCCCCTAGAAAAGGCAGAAGAAACTCAGGAAAGGCTTCGCCCAGGCAACACTCATGCTCAGGGACAGGGTCTTTGACTCCCAATCTCAGGCCTGCAGATAGCTTTAGTTTCTTTACCCTGCTGAGTACACACTTACTTCATCTCACTTTCCCAGATCATATATGTTTTCTCAGGACCATTCAGAGGGACAGAATGCCATTTTTTGCTAGGAATGTTACGGGGAAGTTAGGCTACTTTTGGGTGTAGAATGGATTTGATCTACAACAGATGTTACTGTAGGATTAGGAAGGGACATATTGGTGATAAGAACAGAGCAATGGGTTGGCTAGTCAGTACACCAGTAACCAAATCACCCAGCCCCTCAGGGACGTGATGACCATGGCAACATTACAGAGGGAAAAGACACCACCTTCTCTTTCACTTCTCCATCCTCTTCCCTCCAGTATCAATCACTCTCCCTGCTCACAAGAGGGTTAGTAACACTACCAGGTAGCCAGAGGAGAAACCCATCTCTTGAAATACATGGCAAGAAATCACAGTGCCAAGAGAGTGAGCCTTTCCCTCCTGCTGATTCATCATCCAAGAATGAGGATGGTCACTTTACAAATCTGGTGATTCAGTTATCTCCATTCATTTCTCACAACAAGGTCCTTTTTGAGGCTGCTGCTTTATCCACCTATATGCTTATATTGTCTCCTAATATTTCCCATCATCTCCTTCAATCTGCTCTACATCATGAGAGCTGAGTATGATTTGAACATGACTCAATGATGCCCTCAAGCCTGACGATTAAGTGAGAGTTGATACTACACTCTCAGGACCCCTAGATCCAGCCCATCTCAGGCCCTGAGAGTGTGTGGGAGAGATTCTAGCTTCTCTGTGCCCACAGGAACTCTGCACCAAAACCCAGGTGTGCTTAATGAGTGAGAGACACTCTACCCTGTCCTCAGGACCATTCCATCCCTCCAGAGCCCTCATGCATAGTCCACCAAGTGAGTGAGAACTTCTGTGACACTCTCAGGATGTCCAGATCCAGCCCAAGCCCAAGCCTGGCTAGTGTGTGGGACAGCATTTGTGCTTCTATATGCCACTTGGGCCAGGGGCTCAACAGAGAGGTACCACAGGTTTACTGTTGAGCCAAAGGGGCACAACAGGTTCACTTCCAAGGGCTGCAGCAGCAAGGAGCTGAACACAACAGCTAGACCCAAGCTAGGCATAAATGGGTAAACTGAAATTTAATAGATCTGCACCCAAATTTCAATTGGGTAGACATTAATTGGCTTTCTGTATGCTTTGGTCACCTGAATGTCAGATTCTTTCCTCATATTTGGGAAGTTTTCTCCTATTATTTCTGCCCATATTTTTTAAATGTCCTTTGTATTGACTCCTTCTTTCTTATTGATGCCTATTAGTCTCACATTGTTCATCTTTGCATCATCTTGCAAGTGATGAATTATTTTTTCCTGCATCCTAGTTGTTGTTAAGAGATCTTTCCTTACCTTTTCACTAGCTGCACCAGCATCTCCCAGATCTGAGACCATGTCTTCACTTTCACTCAAATGGTTTTCCAACCTTGTGATTGAGATTTTAAGTTCCTCTATATCACTTTGACTATGCTTCATGCAATCTATTTCTTTCTTTAATTGCTCATTCAAGGAATCTGTCATTTTTCTAATCTTTTTTTTATCAATGTCTTCTTTAGAAGCCGTTATTAATTATTTTACTGCAGTGTTTTTCTTTTCAGATTGGGTTTCCTCTTTATCTTACTGTAGTTGATTCTTAAGATGCTATGAGTTCAGAGAATTCTTTTTTTATTTCAGAAAAAAATTCTGCTCTGAGTTCCTCTATAACTTTCTGCTTTTGCTTATTTACTATCAACGCTATTAATTTATACATTTAAGCTGAGCTAGTGTCCTCTGCACTTGTTCTGGGTGTGGACTTGGTTTCCTCCATATGTTTCTGCATTTGATTCTTTTTCTTTTTGTTTTTTTTTTCAGAGCCAGGGATTGAACTCAGGCACTTGAGCTTAACAAGGAAGCATTTATTCTACTGAGCCATCTCCCCACCCTGCATTTGATTATTTACTGCAGATGCTATTAATTCAGGGATTTCTTTCTTCATTTCCAACCTGGGATCCTCTATAACTTTCTGCAGTTGTTTCTTTATTTCAGAAGCTGTTGATTCATTGATTTCAGCTGTGTGATTCCCAATTTGTTCTGTGTTAGTGTCCTCTGCACTTGTTATGGGTGGCCTTGGGGTCTGAGATTGCATTTTGCTCCTTCTCATTGTCATTTTGCGTAGCACTGTCTTCTGACCTTTGTTGAAGAGCTTTGGTGCAGTTATAACCTTAGCACCTACTGAAATTCAGGTGCAGATCTACAAAGTTTGGATTTAGCCAGCTGTGCCTGGCTTGGGTCTGGCAGCTGTGCTCAGCTCCTTCCTGCAGCCGCCCTTGGGAGTGAACCTGTTGTGCCTTCTGGCAAGATGTTGTGCTCCTGGACTAGCTGGGTGGTTCTTTCCCCTACTCTCTCTGCAGGGATTGCAGCTGCAGGGTTTCACCCAGGCCTGTATGCCAGGCCTGACCTGAGTCTGAAGGGGACAAGTTAGAGTAGGGGGGAGAGGAAGATCTCCCACTCACTCAGCGGGCCTGGGCTAGGACTGGATCTGGGGGTCCCCAGAAAGAGGCAGAAATTTTCATTTGGTGGGCGGGGAGAGGCAGTGCTGCAGAGTGGTCTGGCGGCCAAAGCAGGTGGAAGAGGGTCTCACCCACACTGCGCCTGGGCTTGGACCAGCAGAGCCCGCAGGCACAGGGTACCCGGAAGCTCTCCCAGACACTCATGGAGCCTGGGCTAGGACTGGTGCACCCAAATTTCATTAGGTACAAAGGATATAACTGTACTAAAGCAATACACCAAAGGTCAAAGGTCAGTGCTATATGAAATGACAAAGAGAAGGAGCAAAAGGCAATCTCAGGCCTCAAGCCCACCCAGAACAAGTGCAGAAGAGACTAGCTCAGCTGAAATGTATGAATTAATAGCGTCAGAAGTAAAGAAGTAACAGCTGAAAGGTATAGAGGAACTCAAAGCAGAATTTATTTCTGGAACATAAAAAGGAAATCTTGAAGTCATACCATCTGAAGTAAAGAATCAAATACAGAAACATATGGAGGAAACTCAGTGCTCACCCAGAACAAGTGCAGAGGATACTAGCTCAGCTGAAATGTATGAATTAATAGCATCAGGAGTAAATAAGCAACAACAGAACCCTATAGAGCAACACAGCAGAATTAATTTCTGAAATAAAAAAGGATATCTATGAATTCATAGCATCTGAAGCAAAGAATCAAATGAAGAATCATATGAAGGAAACTCAATCTGAAAAAACTCTGCAGTGAAAGAATTAATACTATCTTATAAAGAAGACAATGATTAAAAAATTAGAGATTAGAAAAATGACAGGTTCCTTGAATGAGCAATACACAAAAGAAGTAGATCACATCAAGCAGAGTCAAACAGATATAGAGGCTTAATTGACCTTAGAAGGCTAGGGCCAAAA